AACACACACAGCATTGATTAAGTTCACCATCTTATATGGGCACAATTCATGGAACACCAAAAAAATTATAATAATAACATCAAAATTACTGATTATATATCACCATCACAGATACAATAATAATAATTTTGAAAATTACTATAATTATCAAAACATAATACTTAGACAAAATTTGCACATGCTGTCAGAAAAATGACACCAGTAGACTTGCTTGATGCAGTTTGCCACAAACCTTCAAATTGTAAAAACACAGTATCTTCAAAGTGCAATAACATGAAATATGCCTGTATTCATTGTCCATTTTTTCTTCTAACTTCCCCTCTAACCAGTAAAGTTAGTGTTATGAGAAAAAACATATATTATTTAAATGGTGTTGACACACACTGAGAATTTTTAAATATGTTTGTTTACACATGCTCCTTCCTCAGCCATATAGTCTTTGAAAAATAGAGGGATTTACGTAATGGTAGCATGGGCCACTTGTGTGGCATAAATATATATATTGCTAAGTAAACATTATATACACATAAAATATATACATAACACTAACTCTTGCTTATACAAGAGCTAAAGTAAAGAATGCCTTCTGGCTCAGCTCAGAAAGTGTAATTTCTATAATAAATCATTTTTGTCCTTATATCTTGATAGTCAAGGCCCACACAACAAGATAAAACTTACACACACACACACACACACACACACACGGAAACTAGGAATAGCAACACTATCAAAAACTAAGTGGACTCTAAACCAATGAATGCTAAATAGTCAAAAATCATCATTAAAAAAATGTGTGCTGCTGTTTCTTTTATGTAAGCCACCTGGTTTTCAACATTCATCAGAATAAGAGAGAAGCTTCCATTAGTTTTTTGTTTTGTTTTTTTATATATATACTTTAAGGTCTGGGGTACATATGTAGAATGTGCAGGTTTGTTACAGAGATATACACATGCCATGGTGGTTTGCTGCATCCATCACCTTACCCCGCCATCTACATTAGTTATTTCTCCTAATGCTATCCCTCCCCAATCTCCCATCCCCTGCTATTGGTATTTTTATGGATGGTAACTAGATCTGCTTTCTTTAACATTCCAAGCCGGCCTGGTCTGGCAACGCTTGTCATTACTCTGATCAGCTGCAGTGGTCTAAAGACTCCCTGTGTCTGTCTTTTGCTTATCACTCTAAAGACACTAATCTCCAAACAATAATCTGATACTCTTAACCTTAGGTTTGAGCTTTTTAATTCATCAGGAAAGATTTCAGGATGGTAGAGAAAATATCTACAGTTTACAAAGAAAAACGGAAGTCCTCATCATTAAAAAAAAATTACTCCAGAAAGAAAGGTTAGCGGTAGAATACTATTTTTACCTATCCCTTTTCACTTCTTAGCCCAGAATTTACCTACTAATAATGACAGTCTCAGTTGAAAATAATCCAAAAAATTCAGCAGAAGTTTTTTTCTTTTCTCTCCCATCCTTTCAGCTGTCTGTACAGAATTTGGCCGTATTTGGGAGCAAGTTCTGCGTTTGCAGCAATTTATCTTTCTACATCACCTGTTTCTAGGTGATAAATATGCCATTTTCAAATTAGTGTGGCATTTGTGCAGTTAATTATATGCATTAAAAATCATTGCAACAGAAATATAATTTTCACCACACACATACGAAAGCAGAAATCTTCCCTAAACACACAACTCCCATGCATTAAATTTCATAGAAATTACTAGGTGAAACCTCAAAAAAATAATTTCTGAGAAAAATAATTAAAACTTTGAAGAAGCAATAAACATTATCACCTCCCTCAAATGCCTAGGAATAAGAAAGAGAATATAGTTTTCTTACAAATCAAAGAGAATCATGTAGGAACCCCCAGAAAAGGACTGCTTCTTACCCTCAGGTAACTTAGAATGTAAATTATGAATTTTTTAATGACATATTTCAAGTTCAACTGTAAAGCTGCATGTTAATTGTAACATAAGCTTGTCAGTCTTGTATTACTTTCTATCTTCATTACTTTTAATAAATTACAAATAATTACTTAAATCTTGATATATTTTTCCTTCATCTCAAATTTGGATAAGACCTTATTTTCTCTATACCTTTTTGCTATAAAGAATTTTAAAAGCAAAGTGCTTATTAGCTTATTGTAACAATAGTTGACTAAATGCAAACAAAAAAGCCACTCTTCACGTCTTATTTTCATTTTGGACTCAGTTAAAATACTTCCAAAACATGCCTGCTTTGACTTTGAGAAGATGTAATTGTGATATTAAATTTTATTGAAATTTCTCAGGTCCTGATTTGTGTACAGGCTGGTGCTCTGAGTTCCCACGAAGCAGTAAAACGTTTAAAATACTGTCTGTGCAAATGCAAAATTTATGAATTCACACATCCCTGGTTGATTTATGTGAAATAATAATGCACTATTTAATGCTTAAACATGGCTAGGAGCAATGCTAGGCTATCAAGATGTACAATGGAATAATAGATTTATAAGACGGATAACCTTCTTGCCTAGAGAAGCTTGTTTAAAGGTGTTGTACAGATATATTAAACTATATGTAATTTTATACTAACTTAATGCTGTAGGCCTGTACTGCAAGCAATAAAAGATTACAGCCATGGCATTTGCAATAATAAAATGATCTAGCAATTCAACATAAGGTATCTGAGGACTAAAAGGAGATAAGGAACTTGTTTAAAACTTTTGTCCCTTTTCATTCATTGCTCTTTACAAAATATTTTTCCCCTTTATGTGGCCAACATAAATCCATGGCCCCGTGGTTGGCTCTCATCGTGTAACTGAGGGGAAATCTGTCCACAAGGATAATAATTGGATGTTCTCAGCAGTCCCCCAGGCACATTTAATTATCACCTGATTTGCTTCAAAAAACTAACTGAAAACTTACTAAGAGAGACATAAGAGAGAATTATAATTGGCAGGTTTTTGGTAGTCTCTTTACACTTTTTCTTACACTATGCAAGTGTTTTTCTAATCAGGGAAGAATATATTTTTATCATCTGAGTTTTGTTCTTTTGATCTTTGTAAGGTAAATACTGAGATGCATGAGTCCAACTTTTGTGCCCACAGGAGTTAAGAGATATAAAAAACTTGAGAAGTTTTAGTTAGTATTCTTATGATACAGTGCTTTGAATTATGTAGTGATTTTCTTGCAAAAAAAATTAAACTTTTTTTCCACAGCATGCTAAATTAATGACAAAACGTCTCTCTAAAATAGAGATATAAACAAGGTAATAAGCACCTTTAAAATATTTCCATTTGTATTGCAATTTCAACTAAATTTGAGTGTATTCATTTATCTCTACACAATTCAGCAAAGTGATTTTAATAATCAGAGGTATTTTAAATTTTGCGTTAACTAATGCAGAATTTTAATGTGATCTCTTGAAATCACCAAATTTTTGTCACATTGAAACTTCAATGCAATTCATTTTACATTGGTTAGTAGAGTTACAAACCAAAAGAGCTATGGCAAGATAAATGACCAGCTGTAAGGAAATACAGATTAGTCCTATATTTTCTAACTATATTGCAAAAGGTCCAGTTGAAATCAAATTAAAATTTGGTGACATTTTCAAAATACTTAAAATGAAGAATTTTTTCTTCTAACTATGAAAACTCCATTGTATCTCTGCGACTCCATTGCCTATTTAAGACAACATTTTAAAGTTTGACAGTAATATCAATTATATGACCTTCAAGTCAGCTCTATGTGTCAGGAAATAGCCCCATTGCCTATTGACCATGAAATGTTCCACTCTCTTTTTGTGTATATAGTTTCAAAACAGCAAAATTTCCACAGCTATTGTTAATGGCATTTCAGCAACTTTTATTCCCTATTTACACATACAGTGGAAACACGTATAATTAAGAAATATCTCAGTGCTGAAATATCATCTTATGTGGGGCTTTAACTGTTGAATGATTTTCAGCATTTTCAACATTGCCCTTAGGAGATGTATAATATCTGAAAAGCCAGAAATCTAGTAACCAGTTGAAACTTGCCAAAATATGTGGTCAGTCTGAGTTTCGAAAAGGCAGAGTATATAGCTTGTGTCCATTTTAACCAGGTTTCCTGTAAGTAACATCTGCTTAGCTTCCTGGGGTGTGATCACTAGAAACACTGAAAACAGGTAACTATAGTCTCTTTTATAAAAAGAAGAGAGGAATGAAACTGTGACATTTTTCAAACTTGATTCCTAAAAGGATACAAATGTATTCTTATTCAGAAAAACATGAATACAAATAAAAAAGGTATGACTATAATTAGGAAACATATTAAATTTGATGTTTGAATGTTTTGGATTGGAAGTTAAGAAAACATTCAAGTTTCTTGAATTTATATTTGGTATATAAAGTCACAGCCTCCCCTCTCCTATCCCACCTACATTATTTTCTATCTTCTTACCCTGCTTTTTCTTATCATTGCACCTTTAATACCCAAATTACTATGTATCCATTTCTCGGTTTGTTGTCTCACTCCCTCTACCAAAATGTAAGCTCTGTGAGTGCCGGAAGTGCCTCCATTTTGTTCACTGCTGTATCTTCTGGATCTTGGACCAACAGCACCTGGCAGCACTAAATAAATAAATAGCCATTGAGCAAATCCGTGATCTCTTTTACTAACACTTTAGCCTTGAATAAGTCATTTAATTCTTCTAGGTTATGGTTATAGAATATGGTTATAGAACCATATATATAACCAGAATATGGCTCTAATCTGGTTATACTTATAGAATAACAAGCATCACATTTTTTCCATTTAATAATTCAAATTCGTGTTCAGTTACTTAAATTAAAAAAAAAAAAAGTTTTGTGCCAGCTATCAATTTATTGCTCCTCAAGTCCAAATCCCTCATTATACTGCTTTGTGATACTGTAGCTGGACCCTCTAAACATTTCTCCTTTGTTGACTGGCACAGTTGTAAGCATTATCAGTAGAGGACTGGAGAAGAAAAGAATGCCTCTTTCTTACTCACTTTTCTCCCTTCTGGCTCCTGCAGTGTCCACCAGCATTTGGGACACTGGACACTGCTAGTGCTCAGTTACCCAGCAATCCAGCAGCAACCCTGCAGGCAGCTTCCTAGCAAGTTCAGTTCGACTGGCACTCCAGCCAACAACCCAGAAAGTCTGGCAGGCGCCCCAGTGAATGGTTTCCTACAGTCTTCTGCCTGTGTTCTAGCTGATTTCTCAGTTAAGTTTCATAGGCAACCCAGCAAGAAGTTTCCTGTTTGTCTGTCCGTCCCACTTCAGGGAGTTTCTCCTCTATCCAGTGGGCTGCAGTCATGCCCTCTCCAACAGGTCTGAATCTAAGCATGGAGGCAGGGGCTGCTTCCAGATTCGGCCCTTCCCTGGGTACTTAGACTTAGCCATGAAGTCAGTGACTGCACTCTTTGCTATTCCTGTATTCTTAGAAGTTATCTCTACCGCTTAGTAATTAAGCCCTAGCTACTAATTGATAATTATCTATAAGAAACTTTAGTTGTTCAGATTACTGTGTGTTTTCTGTCTCCTAGCTGGACCCTGAATGATAATAGTGGTTAAAAGGAAGTGTTTCCCATACACTGTGGCTAGATTAGTCTGAATTTTCTACAATACTATTTGTGCAGAAAGGCGGCAAGAGCTCCCATATAAAAGTTTGGTGGGTCTTGAGAGGTCAGAAAAACCTAATAAAATTAAATAATATATCTACTATGACCTCAAATTATGCTAATATTTATATTTGTATGTTCTAATGTTATGGGAGTTCTTGTAATTTCAAGACTTATTATTTCTCTAAATGCTAAAAAACAGAAAAGTCTACAGTTTAAAAGTACGCTTCCTTAGTTTCTACTTTTATACAGGGAATTGTTTTAAAAGGACAGGCTTTTAATAAGCAAGTGAGGGAAATGGAATTTAATAAATACATATGCCCCTAGAGTACAATTTCCTTTATATAAGACGATGAAAATTGGTCAGTAAAACGCCTTCATGTAGATTGTTACAGGCTTTATACATGGTTGCTCGTATGTATAAACCATCAGGGCCTTACACCTCCAATGACAGTAGCTTAAACAGGATTAGGCCTGGGTACTTTCTGGTTAGAATATGGTATTTCATTGAACCCATGAATCTTATGGATTGCTTTATGGTTTAATGCAAAACATACAATAAACCTTGTCACACAATGATTACTTTTCTCCTTTTAAAAGACTCCCTTAAATTGTACAACAAATATATATTATTTTGAATCCCCTTCCTTAACTTTCAAAAGCTAAATAAGATCCTTAATACTTGTCTACCTTGTTCTTTCACTTAGCTGAAAGAGATGATGTCATCTAACAAAAATATATATACTTTCTTATATTCCTTAGAAGCTGTACAGACGTCCTTCACTTTTTTTAAGAAACTATTAAAGTCAGAATTGGAAATAGTTACCCTATTTAAGTAAATATCAGCAGTAATTTCTGAAAAAAAACAGCATTTAAAAAATTTTAGTTGATGTTTTTCTTTCACTGCTACTCGCTAAATATTTTGAAAGTGCTGTCTCTATTGAAGAAAAGAAATAGAGCCATAATGGGAAATAATTTCCGCATAAACTATATTGCACATTGAAGGCAGGCTGGATGGGAGAATAAGAGAGGACAGATGACGAAAATGTAACCTATAAGCCTGAGTGTATGTGGAAGAAGAGATTCTTCTTGCCTGGCAAAACAGGTATGTTTCCTCAGCTATGTTTTAACTATCTCCAATAGTTAAAACTGTTCCACTCCTCTCTCTACAGCTTTCCTGCGATTTCAGTCCTGGTATAAGCCCCTCATTTTACAAACCTAAAAACTAAGCTCTATATAGGTTAAGTCCAAGGTTACATGGCTCATTGCTGAACTGAGCTTTAACACATTGATAACTGCAGTCCTTTTAACCAAAATCAGTATACAGACACTGTAGCAGAGGCTGCTAGTTGCCTCCCAAAGTCCAGCCTCCTGTCCTGAAACAGAATTCCACTTTGCAGATGAGCACATTACTACCCAGTCTCCCTTGCAGATAGTTGTGGCTATGAGACCACCTGACCTGTAAGATATAAATAGAAATTGTGTATGTAGCTTCCAACAATTTCACTAGAGGTATACGTCACATAGCCTTTTCTGCTACCTCACTGTTCTTGCTGACTCAATTAAAACTAAGCAGCTGACAAACAGTCATCTTGGGCCCTTAAGTGATATGCTAAATATGACTGGCCAAAAAGAGAGAGAGACCATGGGTCCTGATGCAATGACACCATTATACCAGCCCTGGACTCCTTAACTCAAGAAATAAATTACCTTGTTTAAGCTGATAATAGGCATCTACAGCCCATCCTAATCTTAACTGCCACAGACAATTTCAGGCCCACAATTTTTACGGCTACTCTTTGAGACAGAACAACAAATCCCCACATCTCATGAATAGCCCAACAAAAATCTGAGACCTTGCTACTCAAATGTGATTCACTGACCAGTAGCAATGACATCAGCTACAAGTTCAATACCAACTCAGAATGGCAGTCCTCTCCATATGAAACCTGAATCTGCATGTTAACAGCATTCCTGGATATCTGCACTTAAACTGGAGAAGCACTATTCTAAAGTAACTGACAGAACCTTCCCATGACAATTGCTACTGGACCTGTGGGTGAGGGCAATTTTATTGTAGGCTCTTTCTGCTAAGACCAATAAATATCATGGTCTCAGGCAAGATGTCCAAAATCTCATTCAGGTCTTCCAGTCACATGTAGACAGCTATCAGGTGAAGATGTATATTTTAAATTTAATAATCATCAAAAAGCAACTGTAATCATAATTTTTATGCCTCAGTAAACCCTAGGAACACAAAATATCAACAATCAGTTAAAATATGAGGAAATATTGGTCTGTTTTCTTTTTGTGATTGTATAATACTCCTTTGCAGAAGTGGGCACATTTGATCCAGAGCCATGTTTCTTAATCCCAGTCTAGAGTTTTCTCCACGCACTGTGGCTTATTTGTGCAGAAAGAAGGAAAGAGCTTCATACAAGAGTTTGGTGTGTCTTAGAGATGTCTGAGAAACTCGCCCCTGGTTACAATGAATCAGAGGCAGAAGTTGGACTGTCATGGCTCCTAAATATAAGATTTCTTCTCTTTGACAAAAACAGAATCCATTACATAATTTTGACCCTGCAAAGATTATCTTTTTATAGGGGGAAGATTCAAAGTTGTATACTGTTCATTTTGAGTGAGTAACCATAATTGTTTTTAAAAAATGATTTTTCTTGATGTCTTGGCTTCTGTAATTATTTTAAAAATAATTATGATCTAAAGCATAGTAATGTTTAAGGATGGGTACTAATAACTTTAATAAACCAGAAAGAGTGGCTGCCCAAACAACTGAGCATGTTCTTGTTTTTCTTACTCCTGTACTGACAATGTTTGGAATTACTGCTAATTGTTCTACCCAGCACTTTCTTTTTTTGTTTTTAATTAATTTATTTATTTTTAAATTTTATTTTGTTTAATTTGAAGTTCCAGGATACATGTGCAGAATGTGCAGGTTTGTTACATAGGTATATGTGGGCTATGGTGGTCATAGCTGTAGCTATTGACCCAACCTCTAAGTTCCTTCCCCTCGCCCCAAACTACCCAACAGGCCTCAGTGTGTGATGTTCCCCTCCCATGTATTCTTATTGTTCAACTCCCACTTATGAGTGAGAACATACAGTGTTTTTTCTGTTCCTATGTTAACTTGCTGAGAATGATGGCTTCCAGCTTCATCCATGTCCCTGCAAAGGACATGATTCCATTCCTTTTTATGGCTGCATAGTATTCCATGGTGTATGTTTTTGTTATCCAGTCTATCACTGATGGGCATTTGGGTTGTTTCCATGTCTTTGCTATTGTGAATAGCACTTCAATAAACATATGTGTACATGTGTCTTTATAGTAGAATAATTTATATTCTTTTGGGTATATATATAGTAATGGGATTGCTGGGTCAAATGGTATTTCTGATTCTAAATCCTTGAGGAGTTGCCAACTATCTTCCACAATGGTTGAACTAATTAACACTCCCACCAACAGTGTAAAAGGGTTCCTATTTCTCTACAGCCTCGCCAGCATCTGTTGTTTTTTGGCTTTTTAATAATCACCATTCTGACTGGTGTGACATGGTATCTAACTGGTTTTGATTTACATTTCTCTAATAATCAGTGATGTTGAGCTTTTTCCATATGTTTGTTGGCTGCATACATATCTTCTTTTGAGAAGAGTCTGTTTATATCCTTTCTCCACTTTTTGATGGAATTGTTTTTTTTTTTCTCATAAATTTAAATTCCTTGTAGATTCTGGATATTAGGCCTTTATCAGACGGGTAAATTGCAAAAATTTTCTCCCATTCTGTGAAAAAAGTCAATGGTAGTTTGATAGGAATAGCATTGAATCTATAAATTACTTTGGGCAGTATGGCCATTTTCACAATATTGATTCTTCCTATCTATGAGGACGGAATGTTTTTCCATTTGTTTGTGTCCTCTCTGATTTCCTTGAGTAGTGGTTTGTAGCTCTCCTTGAAGAAGTCCTTCACATCCCTTGTTAGCTGCATTCCTAGGTATTTTATTCACTTTGTAGCAATTGTGAATGTGAGTTCATTCATGATTTGGATCTCCACTTGTCTATTGTTGGGGTAAAGGAATGATTGTGATTTTTGCACATGGATTTTGTATCCTGAGACTTTGCTGAAGTTGCTTATCAGCTTTTGGAGTTGTGAGGCTGAGATGATGGAGTTTTCTAAATACAGAAACATGTTGTCTGCAAACAGAGACCATCTGACTTCCTCTCTTTCTATCTGAATACCCTTTATTTCTTTCTCTCGCCTAATTGCAAGATGTTGAATTTTATCAAAGGCCTTTTCTGCATCTATTGAGATGATCCTGTGGTTTTTGTAATTTGTTCTGTAATATGATGGATTATGTTTACTGGTTTGCATATGTTGAACCAGCCTTGCATCTCAGGGATGAAGCTGACTTGATCATGGTATGTAAGTGTTTTGATGTGCTAGTATATCCAGCGCTTTCAATGGAATTTCAAGCAGTTATAGTTAAAGACACAAGAGAACTCAAGTCAAACAGATCTAAGGATATAATTCAAAATTTTCAAATAAATTACATAAATATATGTTTGTCTCTCATACATTTATCTGTAGCTGTATTTAACATAATAAACATATAATAAATTCCACTTATTTAAAATGTGCCGTGAAATAACTTATGATACATGTACACACTCATAAAATCATCACCAGAATCAAGGCAATAAATCACTCTCACAAGTGTCCTTATGCTACTTTTTAATCCCTCCCACCTGTACACCCCCACTGCCTGATCCCTTTCTAGAAATAATCACTGTTCTGCTTTCTGTCATGAGATTAGTTTGAATTTTTTACGATACCATGGGTCTAGCTTTTTCCACTCTGCATAACAATTCTGATAATAATCTATGTTGCTCCATAAATTAACAGTTGTTCCTTTTTATTTCTGAGTAGTATTACATTATAAGGACATATAAGAGCAAATATGCACATATAATAGCAAATGTCCACATAGCAATGGACATTTGGGTTGATTCTAGTTTTTAGCTATTATAAATAAAGTTGCCAAGAACATTCATATAAAAGTCTTTGTGTGGACATACAATTTCATTTCTCCATGAATGTCTGGAATTCGTGGTAAATGAATGCTTACATTTTTAAGAAACTGCCAAACTATTTAATTTTAAACCACACCAGCAGTATAACAAAGTTTAAGTTTCTCCACCTCATCACCAACTCTATTTTCTGTCTTGCTAATAATAGTCATTTCAGTGGGTGTGTAGTGGTGTTTCACTGCGGTTTTAATTTATATTTCCCTAATGAGTAATAATGTTGAGCATATTTTCATGTTTATTTTCCATCCATATATCTTTTGTTAAATGATCTGTTTAAATCTTCTGGCTTTTAAAACTTGGGTTATTTGCTGTCTTACAACCATATTTTGAGTTCTTTTAATACTCTAAGTGCTTTAACAAATGTAATTTACAAATATATTTTTTCAGTCCATGGTTAATTTT